CCCAAACAAACTCGAAAATTTTCAAAAAATCGATTTTTTGTTTTTAGCTTAAAGTGTACTTTAGATGTCTAAAAACAATATGCACTTGGTCTCGAAGCAAAAAAAAAAAAAAATTTTAAACATGTAAAAATCTTAGTTTTACCAGAGCGCTTCAAAGCGAAGCGAAGTGTGAGTGTGGGAATGGAACAGTATAGCACAGGTTAAGGGGTAAAATTTACATACATTTAAAAATTTATTAACAGTTTTCCTTTAACAATCAATCCAATTGAAATGTTAGAAGACGATGACTATTGGTCTCAATTAAATATTGTCTTATTGGCAATCATGCTAGGTTTAATGGGAACTCTATTAATATTAATAGGATATATTATTTTTTACATAATCAAAGTGCGTTCACGTAGAACAAAGTACAGGTAAATATGCAATATGTGATTAGTTTTATATATTTATTTAAAATTATTTCATTGTAAATATATTATGTAATCATTTAAATATATATGTATTTTTCTATAGAAAAATGAAGCAAGAGGGAGACAGCGAAAAATTATTTAAACCATTTGAAAAGGAAAAACAGAAAAACAACAAGGCAAAACAGATGCCACATAATATTGATAATTTATCTGATTAACGATATAATAATATATTAAAATAGCTTTAAACAGAAATAAGATTTTGTATAAATATAATACATACGTAGCAAATGTAACTGAAGCGTGAAATTTCAACGCGTATTATCGTTATACTAGCGGTCTCTGGCGAAATTATTTAGAACTTAATTCAAACTATTTTTTTTCGATACGAAAGATAATGAAAAGTATACAATTAAAAATTAGGTATGTATGTATATTTAAAAAAGTTTCTATCATGAAATAAAAGAAAAGAACATTTCTTCTAAAAAATATTTAATATGAATATTAACAATTTGAAAATTAAAAATAACAATTATATTAATTTAGTTTTTATATTGATTTCTTGTTACAAAGGTTATAGTTAATAAGAAGATTAAATATTTAGATAATTCTCTATAGAAAAGTATTTTTATGAATCTATAAGTATATAAGTTAAAATTTGCTAATTTACTTAGAATATATATATTTAAATGCGTAGATCGGGTATTATTTACGACAATATTTAATTATGTATTTAAATTATGGAGGGTAGAGGTAAGGAGTACCATCTCTGTATATGAAAATTGTCCGTCGAAATGTATGCAATAAGGTGGCGCCACAAGTCGCAGAGTGTCAATTTTAAAGGAAGCGCCAAATATTATTAGAGTAGGATTAAGAAATAAACAAGGAACACAAATTTTACCCATAACTGTTTTGTTATTCACATACTTTTTCATAAAATTAAATGATAAGAAATCAATAAACGTACTATTCACAGTTCACGAAATAAAATTACTCTAGCTACACGTTTTCTCATAATAATTCTTTAAGGTTATATTTACTACATTATTACATAACTCGGCATACTTCAATTTGTTTACAATTGCTACATTCATACCACACTTCTATTTTCATCAGCGCCATTCTGGAAGGTTTTTGAACTGTTATTTATAGAAAACGCTGGACACTTTTTCACATTTTCTCCCATAAAAGATGTTACACCTTACCTCTACCCACCATAATTTAAATATATGTATATGCGTACTGATTATATCGATTGGGTCGTGATGCATATTAAATCGATACTCGAAGTATCGTATAATGAAAAAATAATCGACTAATCGAACAAGTGGAAGAATCGATATAGAAAGTAAATCGATGTAATTAGCGGCCGTTTCTATATCAATTTTACACCGACGTGTTTGGTTTACCATCATATTTTGTGATGTTTTGTATAAATATAAACAGAAGAATTAACTAAGAAAAATATATTACTCAAAGAGCCAAAATATAGGCCTAGTCAAGATAAATTAGCAATTTCATGATGCTTCATACTTATCTTAGCAGCTCTATGATTGACAATTCTTTTGCGTAATACATGATACCAAGAAAACGTGCATTTTATTATTGGTTATAATAGTAATAATAACACCATGATAACTAAATTAAATGTAAATTCAATAATAAGAAATCATTATTAATCAATTGAATTTAAGTGATATTTTATGAAATATGTATATTGCACACTATACTGATACATTAGTTTCTGTAATAGGCTGAGTCTTAATTAAGGTAAGCACTAATGTGTTTATTAACATTTTGATTAAACAATATGTTCTGCCATTGGGGTTAAATCCGAGTCAATCACAGAAAAGGATGCGTCATTGAGAAAACTACAATATGTATATGTTATCTAAATAAGGACTAAAAATAATACATAATGTAAAAAAAGATTTGGCAAATGACAGATAACAAAGAAGTATCTATATATTCCAACTGTGTTCGCTTATAAGTCATGAAGGCTACCTTTGTAAAACCTTCAAAATAATATCTACTAATTTATGGTTTTGGATAATATGATTTGCCTTAAAGTTACGTTTCAATCATCTTTTTAAAAAAACAAAACTTAATATAAAAAATATTATCTCAACGCTAATGTATAATATCATCTTAGACACAAGCTACGATGGCTGACAACACAGAAAGTGAACAGTATCCACTTCACAAATGTATCTTTCAAGGGGACATTAAAACTTTGAGTTCATTAATCAGAACCCACAATCTCAGCCAAAAAGATAAACAAGGTTAGTTTCAATAATTTCATTACTATTTTGAATCTGAAAGTTTACGCATTCTGTATATATGCATATAAAATAGTATTTAATGATCTAAATTTGAGTACATGTACGTGTAAGTATAAGTAAGTTTTAAATAAAGTATATTATATCTTTTAGGAAATACACCTCTACACTTAGCTGTGATGTTAGGAAGAAAAGGTAATGCGATGAGAAATTTGTCATTAATATCGGCTATATCAAATAGATGAATATAAGACTACTTTTCAAGTAGAATGCACAAAGAATAAATGATGTTACAGAATGTGTTCTGTTATTACTCGCCCATGGTGCACCTGTCAAGGTTAAAAATTTAGCCGGATGGAGTCCGTTAGCAGAAGCTATTAGTTATGGAGACAGGCAAACTAGTGAGTTTTTTAAATATAAACCTTTTTTATATTCAATATTATTAATATCAAACTAAGTAATAGTACTTTCTTACAGTATCATCTTTAGTAAGAAAATTAAAACAACAAGCAAGAGAACAAATGGAGGAAAGAAGGCCAAGCTTAATTGCTGCTTTACATAAAATGGGTGATTTTTATATGGAGTTAAAGTGGGACTTTCAAAGTTGGGGTATAACAACAACATATTCTTTACATGTTATGTTACTGCAAATAATTCAATATTTTCAATATTATTCAAGAGCTGTTATTAAATCTATAATAATAAATGAATTCTCTCTTTCAGTGCCTCTACTATCAAGAGTATTACCATCAGATATATGTAGGATATATAAAAGTGGAGCGTCAATTAGAATGGATACTACTCTTGTAGACTTTAATGATATGAGATGGGAAAGAGGTGACATATCGTTTATTTTTAATGGAGATAAAAAACCTGGTAAATCTTTGACTATCCTTGACAATAAGGCTAAACTTTATCAGCGTTTGAGATATGAGGTATGTTTTAATTTTATTTTAATACATTTATATAATTTTTTAAAAATCTATGTCAATATTATTATTTTTAGGAGACAGAAATTGAAATTGAAAATGAAGTTGACATCCTTATGTCTAGTGATATAATGGCTACTCAAATGTCGACTAAAGGTATAACTTTTACAAGAGCTCAAACTGGATGGATTTTTAGAGAAGATAAAAGGGTATTTAAGAGTAATAATAATAAACGATCGTTTTAATTAAAAACATGGAAATATAAGTCGCATGTAAATAATAACGAAATACTTTTTCTAGGAAATGGTAGGACCTTTTACAGCTGATTTTTATCAAATTAATGGTATGGTATTAGAAAGTAGAAAGAGGCGAGAACATTTGAGCGAAGAAGACTTGCAAAAGAACAAAGCTATTATGGAATCCCTTACTAAAGGAAATTCGCAAGGGTTTGCAAACGACGAAGTAAATAATTTTGATTTTATTCTCTTGTCATGATATAAAATAAATAATGTTCTTAATGTTCTAAAATTATTTTAGCCTCCTATGAGAAGAGCATCGTTAAATCCACCTCCAGAGTCAAATATTACGTGGGAAGAATATATACTTGCACCTCCTGGACAATGTCCTCTTTTAGGAAGGAATATGGTTTATAAAGAAAGTAGTAAGCCCTTCAAAGCAACTGTCGCTATGAGTCCAGATTTTCCACTGACTGTAGACATGCTACTGAATGTTCTGGAAGTTGTAGCACCATTTAAACATTTTAACAAATTAAGACAATTTGTTCTAATGAAATTGCCTCCTGGTTTTCCTGTGAAAATCGATATACCTATTTTACCTACTGTTACGGCTAAAATAACGTTTCAAGAGTTTTCCTTTCGTGACGACGTTGATCCAGAGTTATTCCAAGTACCATCGGATTATTTCAAAGATCCTATGAGGTAAGAACCTGTTATAAATACTATAGTCAAGATATATAAAAGCGATGACGATATAAACCGTCTTTAAAGCAATGAATCGGACTGAGGCTTCGACCTAAAGCGATTTTATACTGAAGCGGATGTCTCTAGGAGTAATATTACCAGAAATGGGTTTTCGATAATCTTCATTTCCAAAAGACATAAACGTGTACAAACCTTCGCACACAAGATCATCTATAAAAGAGTATTAAAATACAAACATAAGTTTGCCAATTGTTACCTATACTATCCAACTGTCATAAATTGAATCTATATTTCTGTTTAAGAACATACAATTTTATTCTGTAGATTTATATGTTCGTCAGAAATGATTTTTAGAGATAGCAAGTAAGCGAGTGAAAGTTAAAGAAAGAAAGGAAAGAGAGAAAGGAAAGAAAGAAAGGAAATAAAGAAAGAAAGAGAGAAAGAGAGAAAGAGTGTATGCGAGAGAGAAAGAGAGAGAGAGAGAGAGCGTATGAGAGAAAGAGAAATTGATTGATTAACTTATCTTCATTCATATTCATATATGTTACAATTGCATTCTTAAAAATTGCATATATAAAATGACACATTCGTTATTTATATATACGTTATTTTGGCTCATAAGCCGATCTTATGAAAATAGTTTAAAATAATGCCGAAGACAATGATAGAATATGTAATATCACTGAAATCTTTTATCATCTTGACTTAATATTTAAGATATGCTAAACATCCAATATAGAAAGCACTTAATCTATTTAAAGTTTAAGTAAAACTTAAGGCTTACTTCTCATCAATAATTTGTATTCAAATACAAATTGAGAATTAAATATTTTCATAAATAAATATCGAACGTCTTATTCACATCCTTCTGTTCTAAACGACCGTAATATTAATTCCACGTAGATCAAAACCTTAAGTATAACTTAAATTTTAAGTAGACTACCAGAAACATATGTGCCTAAACTTTGGTCAATAAAAAAATTAAAAAAGAAAAAAAGAAATAAAAATAAAAGAAGTAAAAAAATAACAAAATAAAAATAAAAATAAAAATAAAAAGAGAAGAACCGTCCATCGTATAAGTGGCTAAATATATTTATTAAATTTATTCGAGAGATAATCATTAAAAAATATATATATATATATAATATATACATAATACATATAGAAATATACAATTGCTCGTTTGTATCTTTAATGTAAAGTTTTGTTTACTTGGTGTTGTTTTTTTTTTCCTTTTTTTTTGTCCTTCATACTCGAAAGAAACATTTCGTACGAATTTTGTGTGTCGTTTCCAGGTTTGACGTAAGATAAGTAAACTGAAATTTTTCACAAGGTCCTTTTCGAAGATATCCAAGAGTAACGTTGATATTTTGTTCAATGGGACCATATGCTTTTTTATGCATTCTAAACAAATACTGCAACCAGATGATATAACGTTTACTTTGAAGTCGGCCTTAACAAAAAATAATACAAATTTCTGAGCAAATATTTCGTATAATTATGCCTACAGAGAACAAAAAAAACTAATAAAAAAAATAACCAAAATAAAACTACATAAAAACAATAAAGTAAAATAAAATAAAATAAGATAAAATGAAAAAAAAAAAAAAAACGGAAAGAGAGGAACTTTTTCCATGATTTCTAACATTCCGAATTGTACAGTAATTTGGTTGTGATATATAGATTTATAACTCGTTTACCTAAGCTATACTTACAAAAAATAAAACAACAAAAAATGGAACACACGTTATTGTATTAATAAACTATGTCGATCGAAGTGTAAAGGATGATTTTTGGTGGAAATGAACAAAAAAAAAAGAGAAAGAAAAAGAGAAAATAGAAAATAGAAAATAGAAACATCAAAAAAAAAAAGATCGAAAAAAATGACGGGAAAAAAATAGACAGAAAACAAAGACTAAATTAAAAAAATACCATGCGTGTTTCATCGTCAAAATGCTAATGATAAATAATTTTTGGTATTTTGAGAATCGTGTGCGGAGAAACGTCTAAATAAAATAATGACATAGACGTACAGCAGCACGTAGAAAGGTTTTGGAAATATCTACCTACTATCATCAAATTTTTTTTCTATTAAATCCAAATGGCATATGAGAATCGGGCAAAATGAATTCAAACGGAGTTAATAGCCACAAATGGGCTATTACATATACTCTCGAATTTGATTAGTCCTTTCAAATCAAATAATCGGTATTATATCGATTTAGTCGCATTTCGAGTCATGACCAAACTCATTCATAACTTTTGATATATCGATATGCAATCATTAAATGATAGGCCGTCTGTACTACTGCGTATGTACCTCGATATGCAATAATTATGAATTTAATATTTCCTGGGGAATGATCAATCAAATAAACATTTTTTTGAAACTGATATCATAGTAGCTAATTCTTTTTTTATTCCATTTGTGTTAATACGACGATTTTATTTATCATTTTTGAAAGAGAATAATAATAAAAAACTAAAAAAAAAAAAAAATAAAAGAAACAAAATGTTGAAGTAGAAATTATTCGTTTGATCTGACTTGATATGAATCGTTCAGAAGCTAATGCGAGTTCTGAAAAGAAAAATTAAAAAAAAATTAATGTTTTGTTATATATTTGTTTAACAAATTTTTAGTTTCTTAATTTGATTAGAAAAGTATGCACATAAATTCTTTTTTCAAAGGGTAGACTATGCAATAAAGCAAGCTATATACAGGATCTACAAATAAAAACGTAAGTATTAATTGGGACAATGGGCAACATTTGAAAAAATGTATAATTTTCAACTTTTGGCGGCTGAAACAGATAGAAAAAAAAGCAACGAATAAATTCTTAAATAACTAAAAAGAATATTATGTATTCCATTAAAATTAACAAAAATCAGAAAATATCGAAAAATGAACTTAACCGCATTGGTTTTTGAGTGACTCATATATTTCGTAATTTATAAAATAAAATAAACACGTACAGAGTTTATCTTTAGCAAATTGAAGTTATGATTGTAAGGATTCATAAAACGTGATCGTTATCATCTTAAAAATATAAATAAAAATTAGATACAACTAAATATGTACTCACCTATCATATTTTAAAACGTAGAAGTACCAATTTGCAATGAAATGCTCGACATGAAGAAATAGTAATAAATTTTAACTCGAATCGTTTATCATAGCATAGCATCGAATATACAGAAGCAATTTTTTTCGTTCGTCTACCTTCTATTTTTTTATGGTTCTTTTTTTTTTTTTTCTTTACGAGATTAATTTAAGAGAATTTAACGTTTGATGGAAGCCGTGCGGAAGCATAATATCGGCTACGGAATATTTGCCATTACTGAAGAAACGAGCGCAAGGGATCGGAAAAGGGAGATACTACATTTTCTGCAACCCTCCTTCAACCACCCTCTTGTAACCCTCGAAACACATCGCCATTGGTTCATTCTTAGTTTTATGTTCCCTCTACGAAATACAGCTTCTCCGGTAGAAGCCTTCCCAACAAGAACTTTCTTCTTATTGGCTTACATGCCATTCCCTTATTCTCCTTGTGCGATTTAATAAGCTGTTTTACGAGTTACCATCTAGCCGCTATCTTTCTTTCGATGTCTTCTACGTCCACGTTACGATATAATATTAGATAAAAAATGTTTTTTTATTGTTGGTTATTTGCTGAAGTAATATTAGAATGTAACATAAATAAATTTAGTTGTAAATATAATAATATTCTAATTCTAACTATTTAAAAAAAAAAAAAAACAACATTTTTTATTACGATCTATCTAATATACATTTTTATTCCAATTTATTAGACAACATTTCTTTTTTACTTTTGGTTATTATATAAAATAATATATTAAATTTAAGATGAATAGGAGTTTTAGAGAAAATCGTGCTTTGAAAATTCGAAATCTAAAGACTTATAATAATTATGAAAGAAACCATACACACACATAATTAATTTCTGTATTACCTACCTTATCTATCTCCTGTTTTATCTTTCTGTCTGGTTGATGATTGTTTGGAAATCGTTGTTTATAATATTCAGTTACTACTCTTGCACGATCATCACAGTCTGATTGTTAGAAACAAATTAAACGAAGGAGAAATAAGTTGTTCGGTTAAGGAAACAACTTGAAAATTACGGAAAATAATGAATACGAAAAAAATGTTATTTATTGATAAATAACTGGAGATATATTTCAGTATATTTACACGCGTTCTTTACAGAATTTTCTAAACACGATTTTTTTGAAAACAAGATTTCAAATAAACTAATTTCATTTTTGTTTATTTGAAATTATTTTAATGAATACACCCATATACAACAGATCATTAATTTCTTCTACTTGTTGAGATTTCTTTTCTGTAACATGTTCTTAAAAATTGATGAACAATTCAAACGTGTTTAATGGCAGATTGCTACCAAATCGCAAAAAGTATCGTTATCGAACATAGATTCGTCAATAAATGAGAAGTTTATTGGTGATTTAGTGGTTTTATTATGGTGATGACAAGTCAGCAGTATTTAAATGTTCCTTCCTTTCAAGATTGCCTATACAGAACATCGCCACTTTGTCGAAGGGCTTCTAAGTCTTAACGTTTCACATTTAGATCTTTTATATGCGTCCTTAAATCTAAAAAAAAGGGATGACGCATCGTTCATGCTTATTTTACCAACGATATTCCTAAATTATTGTCGCGTTACGTCTTATGACGTCAAGTTAGAAAAATGTATTCTTCATTTTCGTACATTCAACTTTAGTAGATTTTTACTTACTTTACTGAAATAATTTAAAGGTAAAGATAAGATACACGAATCCAAAAATTCAATAATACGGTTAAAAAGCATATGCAAAGGTGGTGGATTGAAAAATGTTGAATTCAATTTTATAAAAGTTTAGAGACTATGCCAACAAATAAAAATTAGTGCGACTATGAAACAAAATTCTTTCTGTGTTAGGCTCTAAACTTTTTAATCTACCCACGTTTAATGTAACCTTTTTATTTTATATATATATATATATATATATTTTTTTTTTTCATATCAAAGGAAAGTATAAATGTAACTAATTATTAGCAATGTTATTTTAGAAATAAGATTTGTATTTTATTATTAGATTATTAGATTAGAGATTAAAGATTTGTATTGCTATATAATATTAGATGAATATAATAAGAAAAGTAACTTCTAAAATGATTTAAAAAAATATCTCTTCTATCTTCTTACAATAAGATTTCATCTAAACATTTTATTTTTTTATTAAATACTATTTAATTAAAGAAATATTATAAATAAATCGTTATTGTATTCATCATTTATTCTTATAATAAGAAGCACAAAATTTTTAATAAAAACAAATGAAAAAATCTGAATAATAATAATCATAATAAAAAATAAAAAAAAATAAAGAACTACAAAAGTATACTTCGTTACTCATCTTTTATCGCGTTAGCCATAGCCGAAGAATTTACGATACTTATGGCGCGAAGAGAGAATGTATGGGGCGAGGCGTATCAACCCCTGTAACACACGTCCCTTTCTCTCCCTCGAATACTTTAACGAAACGAACATTGTCGAGTACTTTAGGGTGTTGCCATAGATACGTAAGGCAACCATGTTGTTCGTGCGCATAGGGGATGT